TTTTGTTAACTTTGTCAATTTGTTTGACATGAATTGAAACCTCGGGATATATTTTTAATTGCCTTTCTTTTAAAATTCATGTTTTATATCAACACATCTAATTAAATTGCTTTGCTGTTCTGTAAATTTAAATAGAAATAATTTTAAAAATCTGATACATACTAAATAGGAATTTCTGTAGTTCTACTCTAAGTTGATATTTCACAAAACAGGGTGAAATAGTACTTAGTACTTTTCAAAAGTACTGAGCCCAAGTTGTCTTTCTAAACTTTTGAAAATCTTTATTGATACCCTTAAAATTTTGCCACTGCCCACCAACCTCCTCCTTAGATTTCCACCCAAGTAAAGGTCCTGTTTTATAACAAATACTTATAGGTAAGCAAAACAAATCCAAACATTAACCATACCCTGATAATTTATGTGTTTTTTCATCTCTAGTCCATCATCTCACTATAAAGAATTGCAAGATATGCTTCATCACTCTTTTGAAATAATAATTTATCTATACCTTAGTCAAAATTCTGAGATCATTTAAAGTTGTTTCCCTCATATTTTTGTGGTCCTCATATAAATTTTCCTGGTTCTGCTCAATTCACTCTGTATCAGTTTATACACTGTTTTCCATATTTCTCTGAATCTGTCATTTGTTTACTTCTCACAGTGTAATAAAACTCCATTGCACTAATATCTCACAGTTTATTCAGACATTCCCCTTATGATAGACATTTATTATTTTCCACTTCCTTGTCAAAACAAAATTTATGCTACAAATATTCTTGTATGTATGAGTCCTTTCCTTCTATCTCTGATCTCCTTGGGGTATGAGTCTAATAGCAGCATTATTTGGCCAATAGGCAATTTTGGTTTAATGACCTTTTAAGTATAATTCCAAATTGTCTTCAAATAAGATTGAACCAATTCACAATTCTACCGACAGTGCACCAGTGTGCCTGCTTTCTCACAACTACTCCAGTAATTGCTATTTTCCTCTCTGGTCATTTTTGTCAACTTGATGGGTATGAAGTTGAACGTCAAAGTTATTATGCCTTCCATTTCTCATTAATATATTGACTTGGGGAATTTTTTTACATGGTTTTTGATAGATTGTATTTTTTCTGTTGAGAACTACCAATTCGTATCATTTGATCCCTAATATTTTGAGGAATTATATATTTATATCAGATCTTTATACAAGTTGGATATCAACCCTTTACAATATAAATTAGCTGTAAGCATTTTTTTTCCAAATTATGTCTTACCTTCATGGTGTGTATGTTGCATTTGCAGAAATATTTCAATTTTATGTAATCAAAGTTCTTTACTTGATATTTTTATAATCTTCATCCCTTGTTTAGACAAGAAACCTGCCCCTTGCCAAATTTGTGGAAGGTATAGCCTTGCCTTGTTCTTAATTTTTTTCATTATTTATCCCTTTATATGCATTCATTTGGAATTTCCTATGGCTATGTGGTCTAAATCTAATTTCTGCAAGATTCTTTCTAGTTTTCCCCTCAATTTTTATCAATAGGGACTCCTTACCCCATAGATGAGTATTCCTGAGCTTATAAAAATCTATATTATGTTCAAATTTTTTTTACATCTTGTTTATCTTTTTCACCTAATCTATTCCACTGATCAACTTTTCTATGTTTTAAGTAATACTCAGTCATTTCAATAATTACTTCTTTTTAAGTTGAAATCTGTACTTCCAAGTACTCTTCATTCCTACTTTTTCCCCCATTATTTCCTTGGATACTCTAGACTTTTTCTTCAGAGAAATTTCATTGTTATTTTGTCTAGTTCTATAAAATAACCCTTTTGAGGTTTCTTTTAGTGCTGAATATGTGAATTAATTTTGGTTATATTGCCATTTTTGTTATATTGGCACAGCCTAACTATGAGTAATTAATATCTCTTTACTTATTTAAGTTGATTTTTATAAAAAGTGTTTTGCAGTTGCATTCATAAACTCCAGAGGTCACTGTTGCAAACATTCTTTATTTAAATAAGTTTTCCTTTCATATTTTTCTTGCTGTACTTGGTTAAAAACATGTTAATTTCAATTCTCTCATTATCAGTGATTTGGAACATATTTTTCAAATGGTCATTGATTATTTGTGATCTTTATTTGAAATGCTATTAATTTCTTTCTTTTGCACACATAACTATTGGGCAGTGGCTTTTAGAGTTATATATTTGTGTTATTTCCATATGCATATTTATATATCAGACTTTAAAAGGTATTCTTTATTGAAAATATTTTTCCAACTCTATAGTTTATCTTCTTAATATATCTTAATTTTTGTGGTTATCATTGTACAAAAGCATTTTAATTTTATGTCATTGAACTTGTCTATTTTGTTTTATATGTTTACTTCTATCCTTTGTCTAATCATCTCCTTATTTTGTGTTAGAAAGCTGAAGCTAAAAAAAAAAGTGTTTTGCCCATAGTCACAATTATTGGCAGATTTAGGACCAACCTGTATCTCCAGGTACCTAGTCAAAGATTCATTCAACTGCCCCATGGTAATGAAACATTATA